AGTTATTTCTTAATCAGGAAAGATCGGTGTTAAAAATTTCGGCATGAGGCGCAGCATTTGATGTCTTTAGATACGGCACACCATACAACATTGCTGCATCATATTTTAACCATTTATGTGTGTTTAGCCATCCATGATGAAAACTTCTTCCTGATTTTTAAAATGCACTTTTTTATTTGACATTTTAATATGGTTTTCACTTAATTCACTTTTTTTTATTTGATATTTTTGAAATATCATCATTATCTGAGCCTTGAATTGTCAAATCATCTGAACCTTCTATATCTGTTTCATAAATATTTGTTTCATTTATAAATGCTTCAGTAGTCAGATTATCTAATTCTTCTTATTCTATACTATTTATTTATAATTTATTTTTTTTAAATAAGGGAAAACAAATACACATAAATTCATATTTAAAGTGTATATATTTTTAAATTTAATAATTTAATGGCAGTGAAATAAGATTTAATTAAGTCAATACTTTTCTTCAGAAAATTCAAAGGATACAAATTATGGTTCTTTTCTAAAATATTGATACACATATATGTATACATTATTTAGTATAAATTTTTTTTATGTGGATGGGAAATCTGTACAAAAAAAAATAAAAAGGAAAAGGAAAAATATCCGGCAACTCTTTTTTTTCCAGAAGTTAAAATTTTTTAAAGGAAAATCCGGATTTTAAAGTACTATTTCCAGCCCTGCTATGTACAACTCACTCATAGACGGATTGTTATTTGCACCCCTCCCGTGACTAAGACAAAGATGAACCAATAAAATCATCACATTTTAAAGGCATTCTTTGGTCACATTACTACACTTAGTCACGGGAGGGGTGCGAATAACAATTCCCAAAAAATATTAATATAAAAATAGATACAAAAGTAAATATTTAAAAAAATCATGTTGCCATTACTTCATAAAACTGTTTTTTTATAAATCTCTCTAAAACTAATTAACCAACACTAAATGAGATCTAATAAGCTTGAAAAGCAAGTTTGTAAATATACTTGATGAATGCTTTATCTAATTGTATGATAGGTGGTAATTCTTTACCTATTACCATATATTTTGTATCTTGATAAGTACTGATTGAATTGAGTGATCTTAAATTCAAAAGAAAGTCTGGATTTTATTGCACATAATACTCAAAACTTATTTATAGTTAATATTTAGTAATGTTATTTATATTGATTTTAATCACAATTTGTTGACACATTTTAATAATAATATTAAATATCTCTCTTCTTTTTGACAATTTGTATATTATTGCTGCTTGCTTGCATTATTTAATTATTTTAATCATCATTATTTATGTAGAAATGAAATAAATGAAATGTAAAAGAAAAACTTTAAAATATTATAAATATTATAAATATTATAAATATTAATTATTTCTTACAATTGGATGCATCAAACGAAATTTTACTAAGATGCTGATCATCCAATTTTATTATTTTACAACCTATTACTATTACTATGTATATATATAAAATATTAGCCTAAACCTTCTAAATGGCAACTACCTATATAACTTTCTCTAAATTTTTATTAAATAATATTGGGTGTGCAATGAACAATTTCAGTGACATCCAGGATGGCTGTTGCATGCCCAATATCTTATACAAAAATTTTTTTTTTGGATTTCCATTGTTTTGCATAAATTTTAGTGTAATATAAATTTGGTATATTACATAACAATTTAACAAACACAGTCAATCATTTCTTTTAATTAGTAAATGTGCTCCAAAGTTTTATTTATATTGGTTCTGTGAAATAATATTATACAAAATTTTTCTTAATAAATAATCTAATATCAACAAAATAAATAAATGAAATATTTTTTCAAAAAAGTTTAAAAAATTTTTTAATGGTTGTAGTTTTTTTAACTTGTACTATTTCAATATTTGAATTTGAATGCCCATGCCTTGAAGCCATTTTATACCATTTAGTAGCTTTATCAACATCTCTTTCTGTGCCAATTTTATTTTCATAACAATATCCAACACTATTTTGACCATTACTATTCATGTTTTCAGCTGACATTAGATACCACTGAAAAGCTTTATTATAATTTTTTTTTGTACCAATTCCATAATGGTAACAATATCCAACACTATATTGACCATTACTATTTCCTTTTTCTGCGGATTTTAAATACCATTCAAATGCCTTACCATAATTTTTTTCTACACCAATTACATAATGATAACAAAACCCAACAATGAATTGGGCACCTCCATTTCCATTTTCAGCTGATTTCAAATACCATTCAAAAGCCTTATTATAATCCCTGATTTCATCAATTTCATAATGATAACAACATCCAACATTGCGTTGAGCATTGCTATTTCCATTTTCAGCTGATATTAAGTACCATTGAAAGGCCTGATTAAGATCTTGTTGTATTCCAATTCCATGATGATAACAATATCCAAGTAAATAGCCAACAATTTTATCTTTTACACCATAATTTGATAAATTCAGATATATATTAAATGCTATTTTTGCATCTATTTTGGTACCTATTCCACATTGGTAAAAAAATCCCAATATAAGCTTTATATTATTAACATTAACATCATCATCACAATCTTGCATATAATCAAATAACTCAATTGAGTTTGCATCATTCTGGGTTATATAATTCATCAAAATTTTAGTTACATGATGATGATTATTAATTTCTATCTTAGTCATAAATAATTCTAATATTTCATTAAAAAAATCTCCCATATTAAAATTCTTTATGTTAGGTCTTTTTTATTGTGGGTGGTTGGAGTGGTATCTTATGTGAACCAATAGTTGTATTTTCTTCTATAGAAATATTCCAATTATCTCGCTTGTTATTTGAAGCATTTTTAAACCATTTTGTAGCCATGTAGGTATCTTCTTCTGTACCAATTCCATATTGATAACAAAATCCAAGTCTATATTGTCCATTACTATTTTTCTCTTCAGCTGACTTTAAATAGGGCTGAAAATTTTTGGCCGAGTTGGGCCAAAACCGACTTATCGAGTTATCTATGTACTATCAAAAGCATTAATTTTTTATTTGTTTATTGTTGTTATTATTATTATAAATGAAATTCCTTTTCTGATACATTACCATTACCGTCATTAAAAAAAAATGAACAAGACAGAATGTAAAAATTGGCTTAATGATGCAATTAAAAAAGAATATATTTTATTTCATAATTATGATTCTTTTCAAAACGTTGAAAGAATTGACAATGGTGCATTTGGAACAGTATTTTGTGCATTTTCAAAAAAATATCAAAAGATGGTAGCATTAAAGACTGTTACCGGAAATAGTACTAAACAACTTGTTAATGAAGTAAATATGATTTTTTTATTGAATTATAATTATAAGATATATTTTATGTGTTAATAATATTTTTTTAAAAGATAAAACAACATAAAAAAGTTGATCCTCATGATAATATATTAAGACTTCTTGGTATAACTACAAAAGGTATGGATAGATTTCATTACATGTGCGCATCACCGAAAATTTTCTAACAAATTTATTAATAATATTATTATTATATTAAAGATGGCACTGCTCATATTAATAATTGCATAACACTAGTAATGGAATATGCTACTAGTGGTAACTTATCTGATTATTTAAAAAAAATATTAGTAGAATGGATTGGAATAATAAATTAAAATTTGCGAGACAAATTGCAAGTGCTATAAAATGTCTACATGACAATGGTATAATCCATAGGGATTTGGTATGTGTCTAAATATTTAATAATTTAATAATTGTTTTATCTTTGGTTAATTTTTTATCTTTAATTAATTAATTTTATATTTAATAATTTTTTTTACAG